TGCCTACATCATCAAAAGATTCGGTGCCTACATCATCAAAAGATTCGAGGCCTACATCATCAAAAGTTCCAGTGACAACAACACCAGCACAGACGGATAACATACGTTCAAAATGGCGAATCATGCAGAATTTCCTCTTAATATGGTTGGATGCCAGTATCGATCAAACAAAAAAAGAATGTTCGAACATTTTGACACAACTACAAAGCATAGCCAATGATGTTCATATCTTCACACAACGTGAAGCATGTGTGAACTTCCTTAATGAAGTCAATGATAGAAAGGCATTTATCATTGTAGCGGGTGCTATGGGCGAAGAAGCGATGCCCTATATTCATGATATATCTCATCTTCATAGCATTTACATCTTGTGCCACAACAAAGCCAAACATACAGTGTGGACGACCAAATGGTCAAAAATCAAAGGTGTTCATACAGAAATCAAATCTATCTGTAAAGCATTGCAGGTGACTGTGAAGCAACACAATCAAGATTCCATCTCGGTAAGCTTTGTTAACGTGAATAAAGTTATTTCTAGTCAAGGTCTGAGTCAACTGGAACCTTCATTTATATATGCTCACATATTCAAAGAAATTCTCCTGCAAATCGACCGTAGTGAAAAAGCCATCAAGGATTTTATTCAATTTGTGCGCGACAAATGCAACAACAATGCTGTTACATTGAATCAAATCGTTGAATTTGAACGTGATTATTCTTCACAATCATCAATATGGTGGTACACTCGTGAGAGTTTTATCTATCAGATGCTCAACTGGTCTCTTCAAGCATTGGAAGTCGAACCAATTATGAAAATGGGCTTCTTCATTCGTGATCTTCATTGTCAAATTGAAGAATTACATAAGCAACAGACCAAAGATTCTCATAACAAGTCATTTATTGTATACCGTGGACAAGGTCTATCGAAAATTGACTTTGACAAACTCCAGAAAACTAAAGATGAGCTGATGTCTTTTAACAATTTTTTATCTACCAGTTATAATCGTGATGTGTCTCTTAGTAACGCCGAAAAAGTCTTATCAGAAAATGATATGGTGGGAGTCCTTTTCCAGATGACAATTGATCCGTCCGTCACATCAAGTCACTTCGCCTCTATCACGGATGTTAGTTACTCCCATACAGAAGAAATATTCTTTTCAATGCATACTGTTTTTCGTGTCGGTGAAATCAAACAAACAGTCAACAATAGCCGCGTGTGGGAAGTTCAATTGACTCTCACAAACGATAATGATCCACAATTGACTGCTCTCAATCATCGCATACGAGAAGAGATTGATGGAGCTGGATGGTATCGAATTGGTAATTTGATGCTCACCGTGGGTCACTTTAATCAAGCTGAAGAACTCTATAATGAATTACTCAAGAAAGCAGCCAACGACGATAGCAGAGCCTTTATTTATCATCAGCTTGGATTGGCGAAGCAGAACCAAGGAGAATACAAAGAAGCAATTTCATTCTATGAGAAATCTCTCGCAATTAACCTAAAGACTCTTCCGCCAATGCATCCCGATTTAGCTACTTTATATACCAACATCGCTTCGGTGTACAACAACATGGATGACTTCAAGAAAGCACTCGAATTTTACGAAAAAGATTTGGAAATACAGAAAAAGATTCAGCCTCCGAATAATTCCGATATGGCTATTTCATACGGTAATATCGGTCAAGTATATAGCAAGATGAATGACTATTCAAAAGCATTGGAATTTTACAAAAAAGCACATAAAATCTACGACAAAACTTTACCTGCAAACCATCCTCATTTAGCTACTTCCTACGGTTGTATTGGCCAGTTGTATAGTAGCATGAGTGACCATTCAAAAGCACTTGAATATCTTGGAAAAGCACATGAAATCTACGAAAAAATTTTGCCTCCGAATCATCCTGATTTGGCTGCATGCTACAACCACATCGGTCAAGTGTGTACGAACGTTGGTGAATACTCGAGAGCACTTGAATTCTATAAAAAAAGTTTAGAAATAACGGAAAATGCTTTGCCTTCGAATCATCCCTCATTGGGTACGTCCTACGATAACATCGGTCAAGTATATAGCAGTATGGGTGACCACTCAAAAGCACTCGAATCTTACGTAAAAGCACATGAAATTTACAAAAAAGCTTTGCCTCCGGATCATCCTCATTTGGCTACTTGCTACAATAACATGGGACAAGTCTATAAGAGCATGGGAGACTATTCAAAATCGAGTGAATATTATGAAAAAGCGCATGAAATCTACAAAAAAGCTCTGCCTCCGAACCATCCCCATGTGGCAAATTGCTATGATAACATCGGTCAAGTGTACACAAACATGGGTGACTATTCGAAAGCACTTGAGTTTTACGAAAAAGCACAAGAAATCTACGAAAAAGTTTTGCCTCCGAATCATCCCCAGTTGGCTTCCTTCTACAGCAACATCGGCCATGTATATAACAGCATGGGTGACTATTTGAAAGCCCTTGAATTTTACAAAAAAACACATAAAATAATAGAAACAACTTCACCTATGGATTATTCTTCATTGGCTGTCAGTTACTCTCAACTTGCAGCGTGTCACGAAAGAATGGGCGATTACGATGCAGCTCTGCAGGCGCTTGAAAATGATTTACAACTTAAGCAAACTAAATTGCAAGCAAGAAGTCCAGCTTTCGGTTTAACATACTGTTTATTTGGAAGAGTTTATCGAAGTATGAAAGATTACCCAAAAGCACTTAAGTATTTTGAAAAGTGCGTCAGAATAGCTGAAGAAACGTTACCGGAGAAACATCCCAATCGGGCTATTATATATACTAATATAGGCGATGTTCATCGATTGATGGGTGATTATGAAAAGGCAATTTCATTTCATCGAAAAGCATTGAATATTCAAGAAAAAATTCAATGTAATCCTCTGGAATGTGCAACGACATATACTTATTTAGGTGACACTTATCGAGAAATGAAAGATTATTCAACAGCATCAACATATTTTCAAAAAGCATTACAAATTCGTGAAAAGAAACTGAAAGATCATCCTGATTTAGCTGTAGTCTATCACAGTTTGGCAAAGTTACATTTATCAACTCAGCAATATAGTAAAGCATTGAAAAATGCGCAACAAGCAGTAGATGTTGCTCAACAGAAATTATCTTCAAATCATCCTCATCTTTTGGCCTACAGAGAAACATTAGAAAAAGCTCGAAAGAAGTCATAAGTTTGTTTTTTTTTGCGTATTCAATAAATGCATTCTTATTGCTTCTTATTGTTATGTCTTTCTCTGCTCTCTATTGTGCATACGTGTATACGAACAAGAAGACCCTTTATCATCATCGTATAGAGTACACGTAGAACAGATCATGTTGAGTAATACACTGATTTTTATTGTAACAAGAAGTTGAATCTCTTGATTCAGACTGGGGAAACCGCCTGACATATTATGAAATAGGACCGTAGCTATTACTATAATACGCATCTAGAAAAATAATGTTAACGTACCAAATATTTTTCTATTTGGATGAAACAAGTAACATATCAATCAGAAGATGAGTGACTACATATCTACGATACAAGATCCAATCCGAATGAATAATCTATCCATTATCGAAGATCTCTCTCAAGTAGTGCTGTTCTTTACTAGCGCTTCTAAACTAACATTGTTTTTCGAAAACAAAAACAAAACTTAGTCTGTACTTATCTCTTCTTTAGACTTCTCGATTGAAAAAAACATTTTGCATCATATAATCCATGTGGAAGTTGACTTCTTTTGACAATGTTTTATTAAGTAATCCGTAAATAAATAGATGACATCGTAGTGTAAATTAATTGTTAAATTGCATTTTGATCGAAATAATTACATCGAGCCTAATAATTCGATTTGTTTATTATCATTCAGCTGCGAATGGACAAGATTTGCAAGAGACTTCAATCTTGTGGCGATTCATCCTGTTTACAGTAGCCTTTGTAATCGGCTGGATAGTTGATGGCCTGTTGTTGTCGATCAGCCTTGTGATTTGATCGAGACTCTGAGAATTGGGCGACCTCACTTACATTTGCTGTATTAAGCTTTTAGTATGTTAAGAGAATACATGTTGATAAATTCGTTTTGAGTTGCTGTGAAAATAGTATCAGAATAAGTGTAGATATCGATGTTGAACTGCTAGTGCTAAAGATTCGTGTTTCGTATTTTCGTATATTCTGTTGTTCGATATCCTGTTCAGACGCTTCATATTAAACAGTATTTTATAGCAACTGGTAGCGAAACTATGTAGAGTATTTTCGAGCTCGCTTGTGATGATGCAGCTTTCGCAATCGTGTAATGAAATTGAGCGACATGAAGCTTGATAGATATCAATTTTAAGACCAAATGGAATTCTTTTTATATTCCAGATGTTCTTCGTTTCTCCACTGATATTCCGTCCACTGAGTTTTATTGATCTGCTATTTGTGCTTTGATTGATCATATGCTTGCATTTTCTCGGTATTGATTTCGAGATCTATTTGCTTGGTGCGCTTCATTCTTGTGACGAGTTGCATTTAAGTTTTGTTCTTTATGAAATTAAAATTGTGCGTAATTTCTGTTACATATAGACTAAATTATGTCATATGTTGCTTATGAAGCTAAGTTCACCTTTTTCGTTTGACTAATCCGATTGGACATTTTCCATGGCATGGTCAATTATAATTACGAGAAGAAAATTTATTAATATGTCTCCTTGTAAGACACCGACCGTTATGTCAAGTTCTTCTGAAATGCTACCGTCCACGAGAATCACATCCCAAGAGTTTGTATATATGACTTCAATTTCTTTTACCATTTTGACGGGTACTCAATAGAATCGTAGAATGTAGAGCAGGATTTGTCTGTTGATTGAAGCGGATATCTTTTTGAAATTGATGAATGTAACAAAAGCGAATAATGGACTGTCTACTGTGCTCTCGAGAAGCCTGCAAACGATACACATCTGATTAATACAGTTCTTTTCTTTTCTAAAACCTGCTTGATTTATTCCGAGAATTGGTTCAAGTGACTCTGATATTCTGTTTAACAAGATTCACTTGTATTTTTTCACTGTAACTGACGCGAGACTGATGCCTTCCTAGTTGATCATCAAATTTCTACCGCTTTTCATGCTTACTGGTATGATGATGTTGATATTGATTTTTCTACGTGGTTTTTTATTTCCAAAGATTTTGTTACACATGTTCAAATATTGTCACATAATCGAATCCAGAAGAGTTTCGGTTTTTCAGTTGTTTCATCGCTTACAGCACTTCCTCAATTGTTATAGGATCAATATTGTTTGGTAACTTTTTGGAAGCTGATAAAAAGAAGACTCACATTCCAATTGCCAACCACACAGACACTCTCTTCTTGAAGAAACTCACGCTTATATCATTTATTAGTTAGTGAACTACTCGCTATTAGAAAGAGATTGACAAGAACCAGTTTCAAAATTGGATAGATTTTGCTAATCATGTATTCTAATGACTGCATCAAATGATACAAAAATGAGGGCAAGATTTTTATGTAATTACTCATTGTCCCTGAATATGTCCAGTATACTATTAAGTGTTCACTTTGTTCTTCATGATTCTCAATCGTTCTCTCTTCCTCATTCTTGATCTCTCAAGGCACTATGCATTTTCTGCTGCTTGGTTTTGCATCTCATTAAGCTCTATATTTTTAACAAGTTTGTCTAATGTAAATATGAAACCATGTAATACTTTTGTCATACATTGTACTATCATAATTGTATAGATTCTGCTAAGCTATGTAACTTAGTTTTGTACAATGTACACTCATTATTCTGTTGCATTCGTTGTTAAGATCTGAATGTAGTCTCAGTACTTTTTTTGCAGTGATATGATTTTCCTGATCATGATAATCAATTTCTTGAAGCAATCTAAAAGCAAAGAATACTCTTGTTCATATTGTTGATAATTCAAATCTAGTCTGTTTCAAATTATTGCCCAAGAACTTAGATACATAAACGGAGTATAAAATAACAGCAAATGAACCTTCTTCCTGTTGACATAAACCCAAGAGAACTGTAATTTTAGTTTCAGTAGTATTAACATAAGTCTTGGTTGTCTGTCCTTCAAGCTTTTCATATTAAAAGCTTCTCGATAGATTGAATTAGTGTTCGGTCACTTCTTGATACACAAAGAATATTGCTCCATGCTTTTCTTTCGAATTTTGAAGACCAACAACCACTCAAGCGTAAGATTCCAGTTCGACCTAGTTGGTAACAAGTATAGCCTTTTCGATCGAGGTTTTGTACCACTTTCTCGAGAGTCGTCTTGGACCACATACCAACACCATGATATTCGAAAATCAGCAATCGTACTTGATGCTCATTCAAGAGTCGCTCGGCACCTTGAAGCACCAACGGATCGAATCCTTCAGTATCGATTTTCAACACATCAATGCGACGACGGATTTGATGTAGCTGAGTAAAATGATCTAGTGTGGTGATGTTCACTTCGACATAGCGGTTTCTGTTTGCGATATTTGGATTCGTGACGAGTCCACACGCTTCAGCTCCTGTACCACACGCATTCAGCATGGCAACGCCTGTTTGGTTGCTGAATCCGAGATCAAACACGTGAAAAGATGATAGGTTGGTCCATCGTTGCACTTGACGCAAGGCTTGATAGGTACTCTGTTGTGGCTCAAATGCATAGATTTCAATGGTCTTCTTGACACGTCTTGTGACATTTGTATTGATGAATCCGGTCTCTTTACAATCTCTACATGCTCCACAGTCGTTCAGTTTCAATGTTGTGCGAAGGAAATTATGCAGCCTCCGAGGATCAATATTAAGCTCGGGCATCCATAATGATAGCCAGGTCGCTACGACGTATCCCTTGTTGGCGCCCACATCAAAAAGTAAGATTTTACCACCATCACTTGACGTGTCAAGATCGGCTTCATATAATTGCAATAGATACTGATCAGAATAGCAGGCAGACCAGCTATGCAATCCACGAAGCTGTTGCAGAAATATATGTTCTTGTCGTTGTCTCTCGTCTTGGGTACAGTTCGGAGTCGGCTGCCATTGTTGATTTCTGGCAGAAATTAAGTAGTTCAAATGAACGGTTTTAAGCCAGGAAAATGCGAAAATACTTTTGAGCATTGAAAATATAATGAGTATGAAAAGTGCATGTAGTAGAATTATCACAAAAAAATACAGTGATTTCATAGCTTTGGTTGCCATTTGTTGTAATTTTGGTAAAAAATGATGAAATTTGATGTAAATTATAAAATGTCAGATAAGCTTAATGAAAGAAATCTAGAAATAAAAACGAGATAAATTATCTTTTTAATTGGGAACATTATTTGCTATCATTCTGATGTAATTCGATCCTAGAGATTTAGAACAGAGAAAGCATTAGAATTCTATTTATTCGATTGTTTAGTTATCCAAGCAAACAAAAAAGGAAAGATAAAACACTTATAATTTTTTAATCATTTTTTCCCATGCCAATTGAGGTTTCCGATTGTCATCCAAAGGTATTCACAAAAAACTTACATACAAACTAAAAGTTTTGATCGCTTTCACGCATACTTTTTTGTAAGTATTTCTGACTCACACTGCAGAATTCCAATTATCATCGACTAATATTTAAATCTTTTCTTCTTGTAGTAAATATTGAATGGACAGTAAACGGATGTAATATAGAAAAGAAATTGTTATCCTGATCTACTGCAAAAGTAATGTGTACAACAAGGTATTAATACCTGTGCTTTTAGAAAGAAATATGATTTTCTCACATAACTTTTATGAATGTTGTCTCTCTATGACGTGAATTGTTTTTTTATGAGAACTATATTCTTAGTTTTTAACAAACATATATTTACATAATGAATTCAATCGAGTTCAATGCATAATGATCAGTTGACTTGAATTTATTGGCTATATATTGTATACAGATTTGTTGAAAGTTCAAATTTTAGCTCCTATACGTCCACACTAGTTTAAGATTATTTTTCACAAAAGACGGGAGGCAAATGTCAATTGACCAGAGGTACAACTAACTACCTACCTGCCCAACTTATCATAGTCCAAAAAGGATGTAGCGAAAAAAAGATGTCTTGCTTCATTCTGGTTACGAATATTTGATGTTGCCAGGTGTGACAGCTATAACTACATCGTTGTTCTCAGACGTTTTTTCTCCTGCCTTCTATTCTGTATTATCATGATCGTTGGTAAA